TTGTGTGGATTAACCAGCAGATTTCCCCCGTGTGATAACATCCAATGAGATGCTGGTGGAATGGCTAACACCATTTTTTTAAAGGCAGAGCACCCAAATTGACAAGTGGAAGAAAGGTTTCTAACATTAGGTTATAGGGCTGCATACTCCCCAACATTTCACAGATGAAAACCAGGACATGTCTGGCCCAGCAACATCAGAGCATGGTCAAGAAGACAAAAATTATTAAGGATGAAAAACAAACAAACAAGGGGAGGCTGCAGCAATTTGCTTTTGCCTGAGCCTATTGGAAAGGGCAAGATTCCACCCCTTCCTTTCTCCTCCCTGATGCTGAATTAACTGACTGCAAACTACCTTTACACTTTGAAATTGGTTTGCAGCGGTTGAAGTAAGCCATGGATGAAGGGGAAAGTGGGAGGAAGGAGAAATAAACTGGGACATTTTAAAAGCAGCAGAAAAAGTGGGACGACAGAAGGTTAATTGGGACTGTCCTTGGTTTTTCTTCAGGACAATGAAATGTTGTGGCACAGCAATTTATTTATTTATTTATTTATCTATTTATTTATTTTGCACAGCAATTTCTTTATGAGCAATCCAAAGTTTGTCATGATCTATACAACCAAGGGCTCTGCTATAATCTATAAAGCACAGGCTGATTTTCTCTTCAAATTATTTGGTGCGCTTCATTATTCAACCTAAATTTACAATATGATCCCTAATGCCTCTTCCTTGCCTGATCCCTAGTGTCTCTTTCGTTCCCTTGGTTCATTTTGGATTCTCTCATCATAGAGTTTTCATGGCAAAAGATATTCAAATGGGGTTTACCTCTTCCATGCTTCCTTCTGTGCAATACTAACAAGTGTTTGCTTTGGTGCCACTGCCGTTCTCTCTGAGAGATCCTCTGCCAGTGTTACCCTCCATTACCGGTGCTGCCCAGTAGCTGTTCGGCACATTTAGTCTAGCTCCTCAGCAAAACCCTGTCTGACATGGGAGACCCTACCAGCAGTATTGCTACCAGCAGCATAGTCCCATGCCTCACTGAAGCATGCAATCCTACCACCATGAAAAGGTAGTGCCATTGGTGGGTATGTTACCATGGCAAAAAGACATATCATTAAAATGCATTGACTTAAACCCAGTTTTAGTGCCATGTTGAGCAAACTTGTTAAATGAATGGAGCTTGTTAATCAACACATGTGAAAGTCCCATTGATTCTTGGGACTAGTATTGGATTTTTAGTCCATTGGAATAATTTTCTTATTGCTGTTGTTGTGTGCCTTCTTTTCCAACTTATGGTGACCCTAAGGCAAACCTATCATGGGGTTTTCTTGGCAGGATTTGCTCAGAGAAGGTCTGCCTTTGCCTTCTCCTGAGCCTGAGAGAGTGTGACTTGCCTGAGGTCACCCAGTGGGTTCATGGCCAAGCTGGCAATCGAACCCTGGTCTCCAGAGTCCTAATCCGACATTCAAACCACTACACCACACTAGGTCTCCACATACATTTTTACAGCTGTACATGCTTTCTTCTGTGAACTTAGCACTGTTACTTCCTTGAACTACAATTCCCTAATCCACCATTGGCTTACCTGACTCTCATCCCCAGTCACTGGCCATGTTACCTAAGGGATTCTGAGAGCTGTAGTCCAAAAATGACTCTTCCAAGCTATCTTTCGACCTACCTTTGCCCCTTGATCAGACACTGGCAGGACTCCCTTGTTTCAAACTGTCATCACCACGAGAGGGCTCTGGTCCCCTTCACTAGGGATTTGACCAAACTCGCCTACAGGTTGGTGTGATATTAGCAGTGGGGAAATACCCATTTTTGAAGTCTCCATAATCCTTCATCAGACATGGAGATGCAAAAAAATAAAAAAATAAAAAATGAAGGGACGAGGAAGAAACATTAGGCCAGATATTGTGACTATGAATGAGGTCTGCAGTTAAACTCAGTCCCAGCATAGATAGCCATGCTGGTTTGGGATGACAGAATTTGTAGATCACCACAGCAGGAGAGTACCAGGTTGAGAAACGTATTTAGTGGGATAGATGTACAAATGATCATAAAATCATAGAGTTGGAAAGGGTCCTATGGGCCATCAGGTTCACCTCAATGAAGGATCTTCAACTAAAGCATCTCTAGCAGGTAGCTGTCCAATCTCTTTTTGAAGATGTCCAGAGAAGGAAACCTCAGCATCTCTCCAGGCAATTGGTCCCATTGACAAATTGCTCTTACTATCAAGAAGTTCTTTCTAAAGTTCAATCAAACTCTTGTTGTTGTGTGCCTTCAAGTAGTTTCCAACTTATGGCTACCCTAAGGAGAACCTATCATGGGGTTTTCTTGGCAAGTTTCTTCAGAGGGGGTTTGGTATTGCCATCCTCTGAGACTGAGAGAGTGTGACTTGCCCAAGGTTACCCAGTGGGTTTCCTTGGCTGAGCGGGATTCAAACCCTGGTCTCCAGGGATTTGTCCACTTTTTGTGCCTGTTAATTTCGGATCAATGCTCAATGTGTCTGAAAACGATCTCGCTTTTGTGGGTTTAAATCCTGTTTCTGCACAGGATTTGGCCAATTCCCTCCCATGTGATAAACTCCATAGTTCAACACTCCAACCACTAGGGACTGAACTTTATCTTCCTGTAATTTAAAACCATTAGACTCAGTTCTACCCTCTGAACTAGCAAAGAACAGGCCTGCCTCCTTCTCTCTGTGGCAGCCCTTGAGTTATTTGAGTGCAGTCATGTCACCCCTCTTTGTATGTATGGAAACACGAACAATGCTTTGGGATATGTGAAAGGCTTCAAAATTGTTTTAATTAGGATGAAGTTGCCTAAAAGCAGTGCATAAGGAGACAGTGTGGAAGAAATACTCTAGGAAAGTAGCCACTCCATCATTTAACAGAAATTAAAACTTGGACATGTGTGGCCAAGCAACATCAGAATGTGGCAAATGTTATTAATGAGGAAGAATGCACAAGCTAGGAGATACTGCCGCAGTTTGCTTTTGCCTAAGGCCCTAAGCAGACGACTAATAAAGTCGTCTTCTGGGCAGAGAAGAGGAGGGGCAGCCGCACGAACGGCGCCCCTTCCTCTCTCTGAGGTCGCCCCCAGATGCGCCGGCCGTCCACACGACCGGCGCATTGGGGATGACCTCACGCCGCGGCGACCACATGCGCCGCGGCGGAAAAGACAGCGAAAGTGCGCCCGCCGCTTTTAGTGCGCACTTTCGCTGTCTTGAGGAAGGAGCGCTGATTTAGCGCTCCTTCCAGGGTCGCCGACGGTGCGCCGCGGTGCGGCTGCCGCGGTCCAGCGGCGCTCTGTCCCGCGGCGCACGGGAAGCTCCCGTCTGCTTCCCCAGTAAGTCTCCAGGGAAGGGCAAGATTCTGCCCTTTCTTTCCTCTCCTTCTCCTCCTGCTGAGTGAAACGCAAGCTGCTTTTGCACTTTGAACTCAATTTGCAGCAACTGAAATAAGCCAAGGACAAAGCAGAAAAGTATGGAGAAGAAGAAAGAAATGGGGGCTGTATCTACACCACAGAATAAATGCAGTTTTGCACCACTTTAACTGGCATGGCTAAATGCTATGGAATTCTAGAATCTGCCATTTTGTGAGATATTTAGCTGTATCAGAGAACTCTGGTGCCTCAACAAACTACAAATCCCATGGTTCTATAGGATGGAATAATGACCGCTAAAGCAGTGTCAAACTGCATTCATTCTGAAGTGTGGCTGCAGCCTGGGCTATTTTAAAAGCAGCTGAGAAAGTGGCATGGCAGAGGAATTAATCAGGGCTTTTCCCTGCCAAATTGAGACAGTTGGAGGGTAGGGAAAGAAAGCTTAAGCAAAAAGAGCAGGTCAGTGGATAATGTAAGGCTTCAGTTTTCAAGCTGTGACCGTTCCGGGTGCATCTTTTCCATCCACACTCTGTCAAGGTTGTCTGTCATGAGACACTCCTATGTGGTGTTTGTAGATTTCCTGGAGTGTTTTGGAGTGGATGCTACCCAGGCTTTTTGCTCTCCCTTTTGCTCTGTCTGAACTTTGTGTGCATGTGTGTCTTGCAGATCAGTGGCCTGGACAAACTTCAGACTTGTGGGATCCGTCTATCTGTCTGTATGTGTTTTTGCTAGATGCCAGGATCACCAACTAGAGCCAGGTGTTTGCACATTGGCTCAGTGGGGCAGACGTAAGAATATAAGAAGGATGATGCCTCTGAGTTCATGCTCGGGCCAGGAATGTATGTTCCTCACCAGAACTTTTCACGTACTTCTGATATTCTTCCAAGTTTTCTTCATATCAAGACTGAAAGAGAGAGAGAGAGAAACTCAGGAAGACTTTTGCAGTTATTCATGTTCCACCATGTGAAATGAGAGGCCTGTTAATATATAGGAGCAGTATATATGTGAATATCCCTTGCTAGGGAATGCAAGATGGAGGTAGGGGTGTCACTAAGGGGGCGCAGGACATACCAGGTGACACCCTAAGAGGGGTTGACACCACTGCTCTCCAAATATCTGCCTTTGGTCAGAAATGGGCTATGGCTTTCACCTTTATCCCTTTAAAACACTAAAGAGATAGTGTGATGGGGCAAGGCTCAGTGGGAGCAGAAAGGAGAGGCCCCAGGCTTTAAAAAAATAATTTGAAAATTCTAAATTTTTAATTTTAATTTTTTTTAATTTTATAAAATTCTTTGAAAAGTATTTTTATTTCCCCATTAAAAACACAACGTCTTACCAAATGTTCACCTTAACCTTATGAAACATGCAAATACATTTATGCTGTGTGTATGATATTGTAATTTAAAGATATAATTTTAAAGCTGCTAGTTATGTCACAACTATTGCCATTACATTCAGTGAAATACAGGAATTACAATTTATGAGTAACGTTAGTACAAAACACATTACTTATGATTCTGTATGGCGTGGTTTGGGAAGAGGTCAATGGGGGGGTGACACGTTGGGTTATCACATTGGGTGATGCCAACTTTGGTAGTCTTTCCATGGACAATTGGTTGGAATACTGAATAAGATAGCCCTTTGGTTTGAGATGTAAGGGTTCTTCTGTTCTTAGCCCAGTGTCCATTTTGGTGAACTGAAAGATTGGTAGTCATGGATGTTGCATTTTGCTGAAGTCCATCCATAATTACTGATCTCATCAAAAGACACTGATAGGTTGCTGGGAAACTTAGAATACACCTGTGTTTGGAAATCTATAATGTGTTGTCATAAATGTGGTTTTCAAATCTGTCAGCAATTAATTCAGGGAAATCTATAATAAGGAAGGAAGGCATATGTTGCACATAGAAGGTCTCATGTTCAATCCCAAGTATTTTCTGTTAACAATATTGGGTAGCAGCTAATGGGAAAGATCATTCTGTGACTGAGGCTGCAACCGCACTGCAGAGATAATCCGGTTTGACACCACTTTAATGGCCATGGCTCAATGCTATGGAATTCTGGGGAGTGTTGTTTGTTGCAACATCCCATGTAAACAACAAACAACAATATATTACCATTGAATGGAAGCAAGATATCAGAGTTTATCCAAATGGCCCATTTTGTTCAATAACAACTGTAATAATAGAGGTACTCCCACAAGGAAAAAAACACAACAATATTACAAAGGAGGTAATAACAGACACACTTCTATTTCTTCTTTTGCCATCAAATTGAAGAAATATTAGGAGTGTTAGTAGAATCATTGTAGAAGAATATTGCAGGAGTTTTAGTAGAAGATTAATTGATTTCATATGCATAAAAGAAAAAGTGTTGAACAAAAGGTATGATTTTATATGGCTTTGATTTTCTCATAGATGTTATGGGAATCATAATCTCAGAAGGGGCAAGTGTGTGTGAGAGAAGGAAAAGTGCTTCTTTTAAGATTACACTTTGTACTTGCTTTTTAAATGAGCCACTTCTATTAGAAATGGAGAAGGGAGATTCTACCCAATTAATTCGGGCACATTTTCAGTTGCTAATAAATTCATTAATGAACGGACCAATGCATGGGTTAATATGTAGCACTACTAATTACTGTGTGCAGAGATGCTGCGCTCCTGAAAGAAGGAGGGAAGTGTCTTATTAAAAATGGCAATTTGCAAAGAGATTGAAAAATAGTTTAAAACAAGGGTCTCTGGGAGAGGGCATTTTGAAGCATTTTTAAAAAATGTTTTGATCCCTGAGAGGGACCCAATGGAGCTCCAAATGGAGTGGAAATGCCCTCCACACCCCCTTGAGATATCTTTGGGGTGTTTTGGAGCAACGTAGTTTTGTTTTTATTTAATTCCCGGGGACCCCAAAGGCCACAAACACAGCCCTGGGGGGGCCACATGCAGCCCATGAGATATACTTTGCCCACCTCTGGTTTAAAAGGTAGCTCTAAAATATTGCTTGATTGCACCAAAGGAAACAGTTTCCACTTCTTACATTACTCTTGAAAGGTAACTTTGCTACATCTTAATTAGCCAGTTCTCAAAGGTAACTAACTACAGATAACTAC